ACTGTATGGTTATTAATGCCAGAAATGTTTACTTAATGTTATGCTTAATTAATCACTTGTATGATTTATGAGAAAGATTATTTTTTTTAACTACATGTATAGCATAATTTTCAAGGGAATGGAGTATTTGTTAAAGTACTATGTAAATTCTTGCAAAACGTTAAGTTTTCTTCAGACTCCTAATTTGTATTGTTTTATAATGCTTATATTACGAAGTATTTTATTTTATTGTATGTTATGAATTGAAACACTATATTAAGCTATACAGAAACGTAAAAATTGATAAAACGGGTATTGTTAAAGATATATAGCTTCCAGTGAAGCAAGGATGAAAAGACAGTCATCACGAACGGACAGTCAGTCAGAGTTAAAAGAATAGTCAAGAGTTTTGACAAGAAGCCCTCGCGGTCTCTGGTTAAATAAAGACTCACTTGCTTAAACTTGTGAGAGTTAATTTGTACACGGATCCTCACCTACTCACTAAAGATATATCATTGAATAGTATATCGTCAGAGAACAAAGATTACATAATGATATATTGTTCGGCCTTGTATTGTACCTGATAAAACAAAAAAAAGTATATAGAGGTTGGTACAAGATAAACTATATGATTGGTTAAAAAAGAGAATATTTTTTACTGGCGTGGGCACAAAAATGGCGTGATGTACAACATAATTCTTAAATAAAGAATTTGCTTCAAAATTTACCTCATATTAGAGAAAATTATTTTTGTAGTGCATTCGTGGTATGAACGTAACCTTTAAAAACCATATATTAACGCTACAAATAAACGCATTTATGTGAATTTAATGATTCGTCTCGGCGTGCTTTTATTTTTAAACAAGTTTGAATCCTAACATTATTTGTGATTATATATGTTAATCAAACAGTAGCAACACAGCATAGCAGTAAACCTTGCTAATTTAATTTATCAATGAAGTAAAAGGTTTGCGATGACTATGTTACCAAATAATGGAAAAACTTAAACTGCAATCACCATCTTGAACATGGTGTGATCACAGTGCTGCTTTTGCTTTAAAAAAAAAACAAATTACAAACTTCAAATTGCTGGTAAGTTCCTTAATAATTAGATATTAACCTGAGCTACCTATCAAGTACGGATTGTCCACATCATATGTAAAAGTTGAATGCTAACTGTTAATATTGTGTACATAAAATGTCACATTTTGTTTCATTACATATATTTTCCTACTTTATTTGCTTATTGCACCTTAAGCTATGAAGATTATGCTTTCTGTGTGTATTACATATTGGTAGTTCATCAACTATGTACTATAAATTCTATATGAATGTAATGAAATTATTAATAAATGTAATTATATCCTTTAGAAACCAATAATTGAACATAATTATTTGTACACCTTTCAGTACAACGTGTATTACACAAAGGTATACATAGGAACTGCATGGTAATCCATTTTGAATTTTTGAATCTTCCCGCCTTTGAACAGTCGTTATCGCAAACTGCGTTCAGGTTAGATACCAACGAAAATGCGAATAATCTTATACATATAACTATCTAATTCTACTAATAGAAATTCGGTAGAATTCAAATGTTTATCCAAACATTTGTACATATAATACGATTGATTATGTAACCCTACCTTTAAATTCTGTTACAAGCATTCACCTCGCCATTTTCCGTTATCAATCCATTTCATTCCTGGTTTACTTTCAACCATTCAACCAAGCATTCCAAATAGAATGATGAAAGAGATTAAAAGAAAATAATTGCACTCACGATTACTCCCAAAGAAAAAGGAAGAAGTCCTATCCGGGTTGATCGATCTCCATTTGAAAAGACATTCCTCAGAGTTACTCACAAAGTAGCAACGGACGCAACCACATTCACACACACATAGAAAAATACATATTCCCTTCTATACCTATCCCACACATACATCCCACCACAATTCCCCTAACTATCAAAACATCCTCGCAATTACATCTACATTCAACAAACAACCTATCAAAGCTTACCAATTAAGCAATACAAAAAAATATAACCCAAAAAAGAATCTCAACAGCCCAATGACTCTACAACCACCATACCCGTATTAAAAGCTATTAATATAAACTCCCTGATATTCTCAAGCTTCATACTTACAACCGATATCTCCCCCAGAATACGATCCACGATCCGATAAAATTCAAAAAATGCTCACGCGAAGCAGCCGCGGCACACGATTTCAAACCAACCGACGCCATGATTGAGCGGCAAAGCGGTCGGCTGCGCGCGCAGCCGTCTCTCCCCGTTCCGCGGTAGCCAGCACAGTACGCTGGTAACAGGTGGTCCACGTTGATTGGTCGAGGAACGGGAATAGAATAGGTTCGTTCGGGCAGCACGTGCCGGCGATCGCGCATTTACGCGTAGGACGTGAACGCGCGCGTATCGTTCCGTCTTTTCCCCGACGGGAAGTCGACTTTACCGATCGAAGGTCACCAGAAAAAGCTGCGGCTCGAAAGCTTGCGTTGCCGGGAGAGAGCTTGGTTCCGCGGTCGCGGGACCTTCCCTATTGGTGGCCCGACACGCTCGTAGGTGCACGGGTGTTGGCTATCGATCCCGCTGTCCCGATTTCCTGCATGTTCATTGGCGCCTCGGCAGCTAACAGTGCGTCGTATGGTACAGTGCGGGCTCCGTTCGATTAGTGCTGTGGCCTTATTGTTACGCTCAGGATATTTGTGCAATTTTTTCCCGTACGTTCGGGGTGATTGTTCCTCCCGTTAGCTCGATCGGAACCGCGCACCGTGATACCGTCTTCGCTGGTAAGCATTCCCGCTCGTCTCTTCTTTCTTCCTATCCGTTCGCTTCTCTCTTTCTCTCTTTCTGTCGATTTTTCCGAAACGAACGCCGCCGACGCATACCGTGCCGCAATCCGGTGCACGTGTACGCGCGTGCATCTAACAAGTCGGTCACATTGAGCCGGTGCCCCGTTCCATCTGGTGCGTTTCCATTGCACACGACGGATTTATTATCGCGAAAGGGACTGACCCCCTTCGCGGCTCACGTAAAAACAACCCGCACCGATACCGGCCGACCTTTTTTTTCGGTGGATTTGATTATGCGTAACGGCATACGGGCGGCGCGACCACTTGTCGCGTCTGCTGCCGGTCCCATCTGTGACCGTGCGCCTCGCTTAACCCCTTTACGCCCGGCTCCTATATGACTTTTAAACCCCGGCCGAATATTGAAACGAAATTTTATTCACGCCGGGCTCACGTGATCCTTCGTTTACCGCGCGTGGGACATATTGGTATAATCCAATGTGTCTTACATTCAAATGATTATTAATTGAGACTGTAATTATTAACCCTTTGCAGTAGAAAATTTTTCAATGGAAATAGTCAACATTTTCTGACGAGGTATAGGCGGTAATGTTTGAAACTGATTTAACTATAGATAATTTAAGTAATAGGTGTTTTATTTAACCTTTTGTACTCGGAGGCTTTTCATTGGAAATATTCGACACTTTCCGATGAGACGTAGAGTATTTGAAAGCAACTACTGAGAAATATTACATTTGAAAAAAATGAATATTATATATAACACTTTGTAATTTTGTTGTATCAGATCGAATGGTGACTGAGTCACCTCTCTAGTGCAAAAGGTTAAAACAAACTAACTTGCAATTAGTGGTATAGATTAATACAAGTATTTCGATTTGGAATATATATGCAAACGAAGAAAGGTACTGGTTATATTTATAGAGGAATTATTCAAATAGTTTGACATTTAACGCTAGAACTACCGATCACTTAAACTTTTTACAAACTTCTTTCTAATAACCACAAGCGTGCGTTTATTAAGACTTCAATTAACTTGTATCTCAGCTTTGCTATTACCGAATCAGTTTCGTTAACCACTTCTCGCGGGAATATCCGTACGCTTTCAATGATTGCAAAAGAAGAAATCAGGAATAAGTAATTTTCATCCATCTGGTAGTTCTAGTATTAAGGCGGATTCTCAAGGGGTTAATCGAACGTTCGTTCAAAAAATGTTTCTTAGTTATCTCGCGTTGCTCAGGCACGAGTCACAGTCATCGACGGGTTGTGAAAGTCCTGATGGTATTATTGTAGCCAGGATGGGAATACTTTCCGCGTTGAGTCACGCTGTATATCGCGTAGGCTTTTAACGCGAATGTGAAACCGGCGTTGATGATGATACCGGCTCTGTTAGCTGGAAGCCGAATGCGGGTAGGGAAACGTGTTATACTGCATGCGCTAGCCGCGTTTCGTATTTAAGGGCGGTTCACGCGACCGGAATCGGGACAGATAAACGCTCGACGATAGCGGCGAACGTTTGAATTATCTTGACCGGCGCGCTCCTCTGTTTTTCCAAATGATTTTTCGATCGTCGAGTGCTCTCTAAACGACGGTTAACTGTTAGAACAACGATAATCTGCGCGGAGCACTTGTACAAACACGATTCGTTTGACTTTAACAAAGGTCCGCGTGAGTATCGAACGGGTAGTCGAACTTTTTCGAACAGGAATTCGATATTTCCGAGTTAACGCTGGAACTGCCGCGCCCGACAAAATGGCCGGTGCCATTTTTCGGAGATTATCGAGATCTTTGAAGCGTTGAATATCGGAAATGATTTGAGAAATATTTAGTTTCACTTGAATTATACTGAATACGCGAAGAAATTAAAAAAAAATGGATTCTTACCATTTTTATAAGGATTGCGTGTTAATCGTACTAAACGCTCGGTTGTTCTGGTGTTAACACTAGCAATGGAATTATTAGACTTATGAGACTTTGTGTTTTGAAAGAGAGGATCATCGTACGAGGTGTAATAAAAGAAAAGAACGTTTGAGGAATTTTACTTTCGAAAGGTAACCGTTTAAGCATTGTACAGGGTGTTCAATAAAGACTAGTCGAATTGAGACGAAGAACGAGGGATTCCACACTTTCACACTTCATACTTTCCGCCCAGAAATGTTTATTAAAAACGAAGTGACCAGAAACTTGAAGTGTGCAATGTTTTATAATAAAAAAAACTTAACCAAAATTCGGTTAGCTTCGGATAAGTTTTGGCGCAGAAAGTGTAGACCGTTTCGAAACGAACATCGCGTGCAGAGATAAAAAAAACAAGAACGGTTTCGAAAATACCATTTTCAAGAGGGGAAAGTTGATCACAGTTTACCGCTCAATATTTGCTCGCCCGGTTCGCACAATTTCGACGATTTATCAGCAGCCGCCGTGTCTGTTTTTCGTCCTGAGAATGCGCGCGTCGAAATGTCGTTCGGCCGGAACGATCTTCGGGCGAATTGTTCATCGCCTGTCGCTTTCATGCAAATTAATGTCTCGGGCGACCTTTCGCTCGGCAGAAGATTCCGTTGGATCGTTCGCCGGTGCTGATCGGAACCGGTATCTTAAGGAAAATCGAGCGCGGGAAAATATGGCGATTAACATTTGACCTGTCTGAAGTCTAAGCGTCGATTCGCGGAAACAGAATGACTTCCTTAATGCCAAAGATTCTTTCCTTTAAAAACTATATACTTCGAAAGTATATTCGAAATTAATTTCACCTTTGCCGTTCAAAATATTTAGGCAACCGTTTTAATTATCTCTTCTCCATCGTCGCGTAAAGCATTTGTTGGCCATTCATATTTCACAAACGTCCGCAAAAAAAGCCCGGTATTAGCCTGATAGCAAAAAGCGAATCATGCGATCGAGATAAAAACGAAGGAGCAGTATTTTTGAAACTGATTCGAAACGAGGAAAAAAGTAAACACGTCGTTATCGCGCGGCAGAAACGATGCGCGGAGCATCGACTTGCTGTCGCAACTCGGGACGAATTCAGCGGACCTTCTAATCGAAGCGATTACTTTCTCGAATCGGATCGTTTCGCTAACTAAGACTCGATCATTTAGCAGTTTTACTCGGCCGACCGGGGCGGAATTAAGGCGGATTGCATGCTTCCGAAGTTACGCCCGGGGTGGGGACGTAATGAAGACGCGCGCGGCAAAAACGGCCACAGCGATTAATGTCCCCGCGGTAGAAGCAGCGCGAGACTCGTATCAGGAAGCTGGCGATATCTTGTTTGCTAGATTACGCCCGTAAAAATCTGGTCCTTTGAGTTAATTTCCGTCCTTGGGCCAGTGTTTACACGAGACCGCGCGACATTGGATCGGCGTTCAATTAAATGAAATTAGTGCGGCGAGGGGACTCATTAACTACGTAGCGACCCGGCGCGTTCCGTTCGGCGTAAAATTAATTTCGTCGATCGTAATACGATAATAATATTTCCAGACGAAAAAGTATATTGGATATTTTAAAATTCAATTCCGGATATTTCAGTTTGATGTGACCGTTAGGAAGACACTCGTCGTCAAACGTTAATGGTTAGTCATCGTGTTCTTCGAAGCTTTATTCGAAAGTTGTGAATCGATTTACAATAGTTTCTAATATGTTGTGGCATCTTTGTTTTGTTGAGTCGGTCTCGTATGACTCAATTCGGTACACCCGGTACGTGACCGATAGCGTGCTTAAGTAACCCATAGAGACAGGTCCATTGATCTCGTTAGAGTGCGCGGCGGCCTGCAATGCAGTCGTGCATCGTGTTGCAATGTGGAACAACAGAAGGTATTAAATGCCAAACCGTGCGCGGTCATAACGCGACGCAATTTACATTCGTCTATTTGTCGGGCCAGTTGTTGTAGGTACTTACACCGTCGCCGGAACTCGCGTCTGCACGCATCCGTTGATCTTCAAGCACGCAGGGAACGTATTGTTTCGCGCATAGCCCCGGCGCGAACCCGCGGCAGAGTTTTTCGTGCTACGTCAGCGGAGACGCGTGTATCTCCGTTAGATTAATTATCGCGTCGGTTTGCTCAAGATTTGCTTGTTTAAATTCGCGAACGGTTCCCCGAAGCAGCCCGAGGCATGCAACGGGGAACGGAATTTCGGCGACGCCGTAAAAATATTTTTCAATTCACGCACCGGATATTTTGGACGGATTGCTAATAACGCTTCGCCTCTTAACACTTGGTCGGAATCTTTATAAATATGAAAATCATTAGAAAGATTGAAAATTGTTATTAGAGACTGGTAAATTTGAAAATTCTGCGAAGTTCGAAGACAATTGTTATCTATATTTAACCTCATTTAACTTTGAAAGCTTCGGACGAATGTAGAATAGAAATTTCAACAAAATTAAGTACACTTTTACCTCACTTTTACTCTTGATTCAATTATTCATGGAAGAAAGTAAAGGTTTCTTTAAATCGCCAACTGTCCCGATTATCAATGCTTAATCTACGAAGGAATATAACAAAGATTTCTTTTTTCGTTCGATAAACCGCGAGGGAAAGGGTTGATAGAAATTTCTGTCTAAATTGGAAACCGTTTCCGCGGGAAATATATGTATATATATAATGGACAGAGACGTCGCGGGAAGAAAGAGAAAGACAAAATGGTGGCGAAACAGTATGGAGGTAAAAGTCGCAGACCTCTTTTTCTTGACTGAAGAAAGATTCCGTTTTCAGTACGTATCCGTGATCGACAATGGATACTCGGGGAGAGATCGTGGCCGTGCTCCTCTGATGATCTCTATCCTCCATGGGCAGATACTACGATTCAACGACGGGCAACAGAACCATTAGGAACGATCGAGGTAGCATAGCATCATGGAATTCTACGACGTGGGAAACAGCGACCTTAGGGAGTTGTGGGAGTCTTACCTCGCCGAGCCGGTGAGTTCAGCCTGTTGTTTTCACCGAATAACATGAACTTTCGACATATTCTACATGCACGCTTTTGTCTAGCCACGGTCACACCTGCGCAAACAGCGTTGTGTTCGTCAATTGACCCTGTTACGCGTCCTGTGAACGCTGAAACCGAATTTCGGTAGAAACGAATTGAATTCGAAACTTTTTAATTTCACTGCAATGGTTATTCATTTGAACGATAACGGTATATTTTATTTTAGTTTCACCTTGTCGTATATGAGTATTATAAATATTGCAAACTTTCAATTAAACACTGGAATTTTATACAGTGATTTTGGCGCTGGTGCTCAAGGGAAGATCGAACGTGATTTACATCGCAAACGATTAAATATTCATTACTTGCGACGAAAGCGGTTTTACCTTGTACGCTAGAATAATTCCTGTAATTATTGTTGAATGATTACTGTAATGGTAACAGAAATTACTGTTTAATGATTGATATAAGAAATTGTTTCTTTTTAGTAGTTAGATGTTTATTATATATATTAACTTTACTGAAGTCAGTGTGTTAGATTTATGCGATGTGTGCTTCGTAACATGTAAGGAACCCACCACGCTTGAATCGGCCTATATACAATGGCGACTCCGTTTCTCTCACGTGTTCTATTCTCGCCGAGAAAGTGCTTGTTTTCGATCACGAACGAAAGCAAACTAAGCGTAGAAAAAATAGATATTTCGTGTTCCTCGGCCCTTCCTGCATCGAAGAGAAGCAAGCGGCATTTGCATTGTCAAAGCTCGTTAACATGTAATTAGTTATGCCTTGCGAAGATGAACACTTTCGCGATTGGTATCGAGTATACCCTTCCTTGGATCGTAGGAGTCTTGCTTCGAGATTTTCAAAGAAACCGTTTATAAAGGATTCTTAATGGAATATTCAACAAGGTCTCACAGCTTTAATTTATTTTCATCTTCGTACAATAGACCTTAATAAAGTCATTCAGCTTCGACATCGTTTTGTAATAAATTCACAGGAAGATACTGTTTCCAGCGTTAATTAAGTAGAAACTAATAACTTCTAGGTAAAGCCTTCGAAACCCTCTTAATCAAGTCCTCGAAGCATAATAAGCTTCTGTTCCAAACACTGATAACGAAGTGTCCGTGGTACGTTTCAACGATCCCTTCACCTAAGAACTTCTAATACAAATACATTGTAGACACACTATACATTCATTCTATTTAAAAGAATATTTACAACGTTTTCGAGAGAATAACTCAAAAAACTCTTCCGTTATACCAAAACCGTATAGTCCTTAAATAATGCTTACAGAAACTCGTTTCCCTAAAAATACCGTTTTAAAATTCAACATACAATCCGTACTCGAAAAAGCAGTTCCCAGTGGATTAATTTATTGCGCATAAATATTCACGAATGCGGTGCGTTTCGGCCACGGGATTGTCGGTGTTTCTCGGTACATTGTACATTTCATCTGAGATAAAGTGCACAGAGGCTTACAAAATGCTGGTCGTGTGCATTCGATTTGGTAATCCTGTTAATTAAATAACACTATTTTCCTCGCGACGCGATGATGGGTTATACCCAGGTATAGGTACAGTCGGCAAGAAAAATATCCGAATAGCATGGTAAGACATAAATTATCATTAAAAAAATTCTACACTGTATATTGCATATTATGTGGCATGCAAATTATGGTACATTCATTCTGTCCAAACATGCATAACGTCCAAATACACACGACAAAAAAAAATAAATAGAATCTATCAGTACAAGAGAAAACAAACTATTGAAAAGAAAAGCTGATATAAGTTTTAGAAATGCATATTTACTTTACATAGCCAAACAAAGGGAATATTAACAACGATATCTTAAAAAACAAAAGTACATTTTATATTCGGTAAGTTCAGATCGAGCATGAAATCTACTTTTTAAAATGGGAAAAAGGAGTAATTTTGTCGATGACTAATTATTTCGCGAAACAGGTCCGACGAGGCGCGTGATCGTACTTAGACGCACAGCTCTGTTCCATTACGGTTCAGTTATGCTTCGCGAGCGTAATTGAAAGGAATATTCTTGAAGTATGTGGCGGGCAGCGTTCGTCAGTTTGTAATACCGTTCGACGAGAGAAGTTCAGCGTTTCAGCGTAAAACCGGCACGCATCATCATCAGGTTTATTCACCTGTATAAATAAGTTGTCGTCTGCCCGAGCCGTGTCACGCGCTCGCGAATGTAGGAAGCGCGAATATTGTAACAGTCTTACAAGCAACTGCTTAAACTATTAGCAAACACAGCATTGGATGATACAATGTTTAATATTCAACAGTTGAACGGTTCGAACTCGTTTGAGGGAGGATGAGCGCAATCGACGGTATATTGTCCGATTGACTTTGCGTCTTCAAATGATTCTCGAAAGCATATTGAACGTTTGCGTCTCAGTTGTCGAGTACCGATTAATTTATGATTTGTAGCTGGCTCAACTGAGACTCGCAGTTCGCTTAACAAACAACGGAATGAATTACAATTCTTACGGGATAAATTACCAAACGTTTAAGTAATGTTTGTGAAATTGATTACACGTCACGTTGTATTCTGTAAAGCCAATGTTAAGCGGTTTTCGTTGATAACTTTGACTTATTTAACGGACGACGAAATGAGTGAAAGTTATTGAGAATATAAGCTACATATTTTATAATTTAACACTTGGGTGGACGCGTCAATTTGACGTATATTGAATTTTATAAACATTACTTGGTTAATGTCTATTTTCAAATCCCTAATTTGCGAGATATAAACGAACGAACGTCAATGCTTCAACGAACAATAGAATAAGTCATACAATGTAAGCCTAGTGTTAACTTTGGCTTCTGCAAACAGTAACAAATGATGGTTTTCTATAAAGATCCTAGTAATCATTTATAGTAATTCTAGGTAAAATTATGGCACCACTGTCACGTTTGAATCACAGTTCAAACAGGGAAACACGTAGAAAACCACTTTTATCCTACATATTGTACTGTTATCCGTGATATTGTTGCGGTCGATCCATTGAATCTCCTTCTTGGATGTTTCAATATTATTTAAAGAGGATTCGCCGTAATTCGTTTAATGCCCGGAGCTAAATGTTTGCTCGTTACGTTAATCCTATTTATCAGCCGCGTCATTTACATCGCGTCCATGGGTGTATTAGTCACTCGCCGCTTTTAGAGTGACCCCTTAAGTCGATAATCGCATTACCGTTTACTAATTACTATTTAGCGGCCCCGGCGGAATTCCCTTATCGAATATTCATCTCATAATTTCCTTACCTCCTGACCTGTCGGCCCGTTTTACGGTCATTCTTAACGACCCTGTTTTTTCGAGTACGAAATTACCGCACGCTCGAACAGTTATCTCTATCCGTGGCGTCAGCGCGGCTCCCCCGATTAAGTCACTGGGATACCCGAACTGTAATTACAAAACAGATTGCGACACCGTTAACGAAAGGATTACTCTAATTAATTCCCACGATTATAAATTCTATTTTTCGTTCGCCGTACGCGCTCCGGTTTCAATCTTTCGATCTGCCGGTAAACGGGGCCGGTTTCTCACACACTGGAAGATCAGTTTCTTTCTAGTGTTTTCTTATTTGTACAGCTGGTCGAATCATTTGTAAAACAACAGATAAAAAGTCCGCTCGCTACTTTTTAGCTTGCAGGAATATACAATGATTTTTAGCCGTCTCCAAACGCAATAATAATAAAATCACAAAATTCTGGCAGCGCTACTCGAAGTAGACCGCTGACTTCAGCTTCCCAGCGTTACCGTCGATTAGAGCAATACTGTGTACTGATAATTTTCTACTGTGTTTTAGTTAATCAGCATAAACACGAGAGAGAGAGAGACCGATATTCGTGATAGAACTTCGCCTTACTCCGAAGACTGAATTCCCGGCGTCTCACGCAATGCTTTCGTCATCGATGAATATTTACAATTACCTGATTAACATTCACGCACAGTCGAAAGTCTTATCTGTATTCGTCACGATTTTCTAACAAATGTATTAGATAAAACGAAATATTACAAACAGTATCTACAACGTTTCAAGCGAAGACATTATCAGCGTTGAATATTTATAATTCTTCAATGTTTACGCACACCGGGGAATCTTATCGACAGAGTCGCACCGCCATCGTTTTATTGGTCGTCTAAACAGATTGCGAGTAAACACGCAGGAGGAGATTGATCGGGAAAAATTGGCGCAAAAATGGTCCAGCCGTAGGCGGCGCTCTTTCCTCGCGACTCCTCCATTATCCGTAATAACAGCTTGATCATCTGCGCCGCGTAATCTCGCACAGACATCAGCGGGCCGCGTGCGGTTGCAACCGAATGACAGAAACAAAGATGGCCCAGTTGTCGAAAGAATTGCACAACGGGAAATGAGAAGAAAAGAAACGGGAATAAAGGAGGCACACGTGCCTGCATAGAGAACTGTGACAAAACGCCTGATATTGTCTGTTGCTTCACCAAGAAACCTTTGGAAACGTTCGTCGAAAACATTTAAAAGCGTTTTACGGGGCTAGCAGAAGTTAAGCTTGTAAAATGTAATCTCTTACTGATAGTACAATGATTACTTGTTATTCAAATGCAACAATTATTTGTGTCGATCGATTAGTTACCTTTTCTTTTGTAGGCGTTACAATACTGTATTCAGTAGGATATTTATTGCCTTATGTATGCGTTTTTCGATCTTTTTGACCTCACGCGTGTCGTGATAACAGTTATAAATGCATGACATTAATATACGCGTTTCCTAGCATTATTCAATTTGGGAAAACTGAGGCATTGTAATTACAACTTTATTCTATGAATTAACGTAGTTCATCGATCTTCAGAGCAAGCTAAGCAACAGAATATTCCATCCATACGGAACGTTTCGATTAGGAGTATTCAACGCTGAAAAGGTTAAGAATCCACGCGAACTTCCGGTCGCTAATATGTTTTCTCAATAGTAAAACAAAAAGTTGGAAAT